TCAGCAGATTCTCCAAGGAATCCAATATTCATCAGATTCTCCGAGGAATCGAATATTCAGCAGATTCTCCGAGGAATCAAATACTCTGCAGATTCTCTGAGGAATCAAATATTACAACAGATTCTCCAAGGAATCAACATCGCTAGAATGTACATCATGATGCCTTTTATGCAAAATGACTCACAACATTTCTCTACATGCATACATATTCGTAAATATATCACTATGCATATTCATCTCATACAGGCACATACAATCTATGTACATTCACAATATACTTATACTCCAATATATATATATATATATATATATATATATATATATATATATATATATATATATATATATATATATATATATATATATATATATATATATATATATATATATATATATATATATATATATATATATATATATATATATATATATATATATATATATATATATATATATATATATATATATATATATATATATATATATATACTCTTCAGAAAACAGGAAAATGTTGTTGCATTCGCCAACCTTCGCCTGGCGAAGCCTCTGGCGAACCTTCGCTACTCTCATTCGCCTGGCGAACTTGCCAGCAAAGACCACTGGGATTTATTCTGGAATTACTCGCTAGCACACTCGCCTGGCGAACCTTCGCCATCCTCATTCGCCTGGCGAACCTGCCAGCGAAGACAGAGTGGATGCTTCTAACTTGGTTCGCTGCTGCTCGCTGGGCTTCGCCTGGCGAACCTGCAAACTCAGAACTCCCATGGCTGTCCAAAAGCCCAAACTTCACAAACCGACCGATTCTAAAACCAAACCACCCCAGTAAGTTAAACCCAATAACACCCGATTATCCTACTCCATCCATTTCTCGATTCTAACCGGTTAAAATCACATTCTACCGATTAAATCCTAATATTGCCCTAAGATGAAAATGAGTAGAAACTTTTCTCAATCCAACATCAAACAATCAAAAGCATATATAATCATACACATTAACAGTATAATCGAGTTTCACACCCTTACCCGATCGATTGAAAGCTTGGATGTTGAATCTTGATGAAATTCTAGGTTTTCCTCTTCTTTCTCCTCTTTCTCTTCTCTCTTCTTTCTTTCCCTTGTTTTTCCACTAATGTTTCTATCTATCTCCTTTTCTCTCTTATCTCATATTCTATTTTCTTTCCTCTTCATTTCTTTCCAAACACTTACCAATTAATTCTCACACAATAATCCACTTAACACTTAATACTAAATGTCTAAAATACCCTTTACTCTATTTTCCCCGAAAACTCTCCAAATCGGTAAAATAGCACAATTTTGAAATTAAACATATCAACACATAAATTCCACAATTAAAATACCAATTATCCAAATAAATTAAAAAGGACTCAATAAAAATAATGGGAATTCAGAATTTGGGGCGTTACACTTGTGAAAGTAGCGTGGGGAGGCGCTTCGGAATGCAATATGACTTGGGAATTAGAGAGTGGGATGCGAGAGTCGTATCCGGAGTTGTTTGAATCAGGTAATTCGAGGACGGAAATTTCTAAAGTGGGGAAGAGGTGTAACGCCCCGATTCGGATTTCCCATTTTTGTTGAGTCTTTTATTTTATTTGGGTAATTATTATTTTATTTGTGGAATTGGTGTGTTAATATGTTATGTTTGCATATTGTGCTATTGTATCGCTTTTGAGAGTTTTCGGGGAAATTAGGTTGGAGGGTATTTTAGATATTTCTTAATTAATGTGAAGTTAGATATTTTGTGAGAAGATGAATTATTAGATGTTTTTGAGAGAAAAGTAATAGAAAGAATGAGAATAGAAAGATATAAGAGGAAAGAGGAGAGAAAAGAAAGAGAAAGAAGAAAAAGGAGAGAAAGAAATGAGGAAGAAGAGAAAAGAGAAGAAAAAGAGGAAAACATTGTAGATCTTCAAAACAACTTCTAGGAATCGATTTAATCGGGTAAGGGTGTGAAATCTTATTATCTCATCAATGTGTATGATTATGTATGTGTTTGGTTGGATTGTTTGGTTGTTTTTCTACATTTTTCATTTTAGGTCGAATTGGATTAAATCGATAGAAACTGATGTTTTCACGGTTAGAATTCGAAATAAATTGCGTAGTTTAGTCGAGGAATGTTAGGCCGAGACTATTAGAACTTGTTTGAATTAAATCGGGTGATTTTGTGGCTTTTTGATATTTTTGGATTATTGAGGGTTTGTGTAGCAAAGTATTCGCTAGGCGAATCACTGGCGAGTGAGGTAGCGAAGGGTTCGCTAAGCGAGCACCCAGCGAGCTGCCAGCAAACACTCCCAAACTTGGACAGAACCAAGAAGACCAAAATCGCTGGAGCGAGTGGCGTAGCGAAGGGCTCGTCATTCTGCTCGCCTAGCGAGCATGCTAGCAAGCATGACAGCACGACATTTTCTTTTATTCCATCCAATATCGATTATTCGACACGGATGTGATTAACCTTATCTGAAATGTGTAGCTTGTGTGTTGTTATATGATATGCTGTGGGTAGCCGTATGGCATGAATCCTAGATTGTGGAATTTATTGTGAATTGCGGCCTTTTGGCAAATTATATGCATTGTTTGAATTAAATGTAAATGCATGATGATTGTGATAGAGTCTGTTGCCGTTTAGGTGGTAAAGCGATGCTCGTTGCCGTTTGGCATAATTGATGTGAAGGTGTATCGATTGTATGTGATGGTATGAGATGAATGCATGAATATATTGTGAATATGTATGCATTTCAAGAGTGTCTTGAGTCATTTTGCATGTGAAGCATAACGATGTGCATTCTTGTATTGTGAGATTCTAATGAGAATCCGTTGTAACATCGTGTGCTTATGTAAGGTGTGAGCGATAATTACAAACGATTGTGTGCCTATGTGAGGTGTGAGCAATCGAATTGTATGCCTATGTGAGGTGTGAGCAATCCATAAACATTGTGTGCCTATGTGAGGTGTGAGCAATGGGTGAACATCGTGTGCCTATGTGAGGTGTGAGCGATGGTTCCAATAAGTTCCTGAGTAAACTTGAGCTGATTGAGTCGGTACCGCATTGCATTTGCATAGAGTCGTGAGTCAGTCTCTATGATTTGCATTTATCATCTTTATAATCGTGCATTGTGAATAAATATTATTGTGTATGTTTATGTGGAATGATGGAATTGTGGAAGTATGTATGATGAATATGCTTGGATTTATATGTATATATATACATTGTGATGTATATGAGTGTTGTTGTGATGAATTGTGGTGAGATTGCAGAATATGTGTATTTTATGCTATGATATATATAATTATATGCATTGTTGCTACGATAATATTTCTCACCCTTCTGCTGTTTTATGGTGCTCTATGAGGCATTGCAGAGTAGGTATGCTGGAGGTCTTTTTGTGAAGTGTGTCTTCATTCTTTTGGTCGGTTGGCTCTGATATGTAGCACTGGGTACCTAGGTTGTTCATGATTCTTTTGTGATACATTTGTATATGTATCTTGTGGGTGAATGTTTATGAAAACATGACTTATGTTGTTGAATAATTCTGGATGATGTATATATGTATATATTCCGCTTATATTCTAAATATTGAGATGTGGGTGTAAGGACTAAGTTCCTCTGTTGCAAAATTATCCCATTGTTGCATATCTTTTGTTAAGCAGGTGTTGTATGTTTTAATTTCATGTGTAATGTGACTCGCCCCTTTTATACCATGTTTATAATTATACTCTGATGAAATTTTTAATATGTGACTAATTGATTATGTGATTATTTGGGGGTATAAAAAGGGGGTGTTACACAAAATGTTGTGAAGTGAAATTTACGTGGCAAAGTTGCGACGTGAATTTCACGTGGCAAAAAAGTTACCACACATCCTCATTCACGTGAATAGTCAGGTCGCAAAAACTGTGTTGTGAAGTGATTTTCAAGGTTGTGAAGTGAAAATCACATGGCAAGAAACAATTTTTTTGTAATGAAATAATGATAAGTACGAGTTTGGAGCAGCTACATATAAGATAGTTTAGGGTAAAATCTGTTTAACGAGTATTTTTATAGTAATATGATTATTTAATGTCTCGACTATTACAAAAGTCGAAGGAATAGATTATTAATTTAAAAATCAAAAGTAAAATTAAAAAAAGACACCAAATCTAAAGAAATAAAAATATAAATTGTATTCGCTGAGATTCGAAACATGTTCTGGATTATTTTTTTTCTCAGTTATATTTAGAAACTGAAGAAATATATTGTATTTATTTAAAAAATAAAAGATAAAACATGAAGCGCCTTGGAATTATAACTGGATTTTTTTGTTTAGTGAGGCAAAAAAAACTTTCATAAAATGTATTGTTTATAATAGTAATGATTAGGATTCTCTAGTTTGTTGCTGTTGAAAGTTCTTAACTTTTATGAGAAATTAAGTCACTTTTCACTTGTCAGTGTTTTCATGTCTGTCTTAGGCTGATTTTCTTAATTTAAACTAATTTTTAAAGTATTTTATGGGTGTTTGGTTGTGTATGAATTTGGATTGGTAGTGAAATCTATTAAAATGTTTTTGAAAGTGTTTTATGTGTGATTTGTGCACAACTTTTTAAGATCGTGGTTCTACAATCATCTGATAATGATCCTATATACTCCCTCCATTCCTATATATAAGCAAATTTCTCACATTTTCACACATACCAATAAACCTCATTAAAACTCAATGAATTATTTGACTTCTATAAAAATTAGTTATGTATTGACAGCAATACCCTTTACTATTAATTAAAAAAAATATTTATAGTAATTATTAGCCACCCTAATAATAATTATCTGCATTAATTGGTGGTGTTTACAACACCATATTTTCATCTCTCTAACGTGTTTCTCAAATTTTTCTTCTCCTGCTTCTTTCAAAAAGTTTGCCAAATTTTCATTCCAAATTTTCGTTTTGCCGCCTTATCTGTTCTTTTAATTGAAAACTAAAATGAAGTTATTTTTCTCAATTATGAACATGCCTCTAAATCTTGATTTAAACAAATTTCCTGAAGAAATTTTGGATGATGAAAGTAATACAGCTTCCATGAATTATTCTTCAAGTTTGATTATGGATAACAACCAAGCAAATCTGAATATTTTTTATGAAGAACACATAACAACTTCCATAAATCATTCTCCAAACTTGGCAAATGTAGCAGCTTTAGACTTTGTTGAAGATGGAAATGTAGTAGCTTCCATGAACTATTCTTCAATACTTGGAGATGGATTACAACACAACAAATCAAAAATTGGTTGATGATTATAACATGTACCATCCTTCAAATATAAATGATTTATTTTCCGATGAAGATGACAGTAGAGAAGATGAAGAAATCGCTCAGATTATATCTCAAGAAGGTATATCAATTTTTAGATTTTTTATGTTATTTTTCTAAAGATTATTGATTTGTTTATGTAAAAGATATGTGAGGTCAGCAAATAAATTTTTGGAGCTTCCTAATGAGCAGCAAATCAGATTATATTTGCCGGTATCTCAAATTATTTAGATTTTGTTTATGTAACTTTTTTTGTAAGATTTGACAGTATCTCAAATCATTTATTCTGATTGGAGTATTGATTTGTTTCACATTATTGCTTGTTTCTTTATATAAAATTGATGTTTTCTTCCAATGTTATAGTTGCACATTTGTTTCTTTATATAAATGTCACGTTTTTTGTATTCAAAATTTTGTTTTTTTATACAAAATCTTTTAATTAAATTGATTTTGTTTGATTTTTTTTAGAAGGAAGCACCAATATTGATGAGACGCATTCATCCGGAAAAAATCGTCATTTCCTGAACAATAATCAAAGAAAATTAATTTCTGAATTATTGATGCATTCAAGTTTTGATAGGAAACTTGAAAGAGGGGCGGTTACAAAGGTGGCTACTTCATTTTCAGTATCTATAGATGTTATCTATCGGATTTGGAGACAACTATGTGAAACAGGAGATGTTTGTCATAAGAAAACAAAAATTTGTGGGAGAAAAAGAGTTGAGATTGATTATGAGAAAATGCGTGATATTTCATTATCTAAGCGTAGAAATCTTTTATCTTTATCTCGTGCGTTGGGAATTAGCAAGACATCGTTGTTTAGATATGTAAAAGAAGGAGTTTTGCATTGTCATTCAAGCGCATTAAAACCACACTTGAAAGATGATAATATGAAAGAACGACTTAGATTTTGTTTGTCTATACTTGAGGAAAGTAGCATTCCTCATGATCCAAAGTTTAAGTCCATGCACAACATAGTGCATATTGACGAAAAATGGTTTTACATTTCTAAGAAATCTACAAACTATTATCTTCTTGCAAATGAGGCTGACCCATATCACGTGTAAAAACAAAAATTACATTGGTAAAGTCATGTTTTTAGCTGCGGTTGCTAGGCCTCGATTTGACAATGAAGGTAACGAGATATTTTCAGGAAAAATAGGTGTGTTTCCTCTTGTTAATAAAGTACCGGCAAGAAGGTCAAGTGTTAATAGAGCAGCAGGAACACTTGAAACTAAACCGATAACTTCTATCAATAAAGAGATTAGTCGAATGTTTTTGATTAATAAGGTTCTACCGGCCATCAAAGAAAAATGGCCACGAGAACAAGCTTCAGAAACAATTTACATACAACAAGATAATGTACCTTCCCATGTCTCTATGGATGATGAAGAATTTCGTCGAGTAGCTTCGGAAGGTGGTTTTGATATCCGTTTAACTTGTCAACCTCAGAATTCTCCTGACTTGAATGTTTTGGATCTTGGTTTTTTTAATGCCATTCAGTCTTTGCAACAAATAGAAGTGACTAATTCAGTTGATGAGCTTATTCAGACCGTGCAGAAATCTTATGACAATTTTTCTAGCAAAGCTTCAAACAAAATTTTTCTCACACTTCAATCGTGTATGATTGAAATCATGAAGGTCAAAGGATCCAATAATTATAAAATTCCTCATGTAAAGAAAGATGTCATGTTTCATCAAGGAATACTACCTGTTGAACTAAAATGTGATGGTGAACTAGTTCATGAAGTTATGGAGTATTTAGCGAATTAGATTGTTGAATTACTTTGGCATACTAGGTTGTTGAATTACTTTAGTCATGTCTTAGCTTGCTATAGTTTTATATTTATGGAATAACTTTGTCATTGCTACTGATGTAAAATTAAAGTTAATCAAATTGAAACAAAGTTATCCATATTAATACAAACATGCTTTTGTCTTCGTGTACCATTTCTGAAACCTCATTTTTTTCAATTCCTTTGGTAAAATATTGGATTATATTATGAACATCATAATCTAAATGCCTTTGATAAAAAAATTGAATTATAATGAACCTTATATAATGAACCTCGTATTCTAACGTGCATGCAAAGTAAGAAAAAGAAAAAACACCACCCGAGAGCTAAAAGTAAGAATGGTTATGACGTTGAATGAATAATTATTCTTTAACATCAAATGAGTATTGTAATAACATTCAAATAATCAACATTAACATAGAGACAAAATAGCATCAACACATGGAAACCATTCATAGCAAGAAATATGAAGACATTAAAAATAGGAGAAAGAACTTTCCTTAGAACATGAGACAATACAATCCAAAATGAAGACACTAAAAATAGGAGAAAGAACTTTACTTATAACAAGAAATATGAAGAAACTAAAAACATGAAAAATAAGCACTTGTTTTCAATACAACTCAAAATGATGAACATGAGACAAAATCTTAATCATAAACTCTAAGATGAATACTAATATATTCCTTTCATTTTTGAGACACACCTAATACAAAGTGTATAGTAAAATCTTTAACATGTCATAAACCTCTTTTCCCAACTCTTCATTCTCTAAGCCAAAGACTAGCCCAATTTATTCAGATCCAAAACAGATTTGTTAAGGTCGAAAAATGCTCTATCAAAAGGTTGAACAACTTGGTTATTCACACTTGAATTCTTTGCATCTTCAGAGCCTGCATTCACTGAGTACACAACTTCATTAGGGAGGTTGTTAAGGTCAAACTGTTGCATAGACTTGTCTGTGTTTGCAGCACCTTCATCCTTCAAGTCATCATCAAAGCCTAGATCAAATGAAGGACCATTGAAGAGCTCTTGTGAAACATCCATTTTTAATACTCCTATCAAAATAGATTTTGTACGGTAAATATTCTTAAAGAAGTGAATGAGTATAAAATGATGGAGTAGTTACTTTTATATATAATCATGTGACCTTTGGTATATCCTACTACCAGTACCACTACGTATTCAAGCTATTACTACCACTAAAGTGGCTTTTCCACTAAAAGGCATTGAAAATTGTATAGATAATTAATGTTATAGAAACAACAAAAACTAATGAATAATGAAGGACATTATTGATAAAATAATATTATATATAATTAATATAGTCAAATTTGCTTATATTAAAGAACAAAAATTTATGTAATTTTTTGTTTATATATAAAAATGGAGGGAGTACTCCATTCGTTCCATTTTTTATATAGGTTGTGTTAAGAAAAAAACTTATCAAAATATAAACTGTAATAGAAAAAAATTATTAATATTATTTTTCAATTCAACTCTTAAATATTTATTAATATCACTTCTTTATTAAAAAAAATTATTTTTCTTATATAATTAATGAAGAACAATATTATCAAATCTCGTAATTTTTTTTTTAATACAAAACAACTTATAAAAGAACCGAGATAGTATAATATTAAGAAGATATAAACTCTTCTGCCTCTTTACATCTACACCATCGTCTGATACACTTTTCTATCTTAGGTCTTTGACACAAAACTGGAGGACAATCTGAATCTCTAGAGCATCGATAGAACACAGCTGCGAGGATAAAAGATGATAAAGTGATGAAAATTATATTAGTTGAAATATTGTGTATAAATTAAATAAGAAAATTTGAAAAGGATAAAAATGACTTACATTCAACATTTGTAGCAGCAAAAAATAGAGAAAATATGATAACTGTGACATAAACAAACTTTATTAGTTTAGCCATATTTCTTCCCTTTTCCCTTTTCATGTAATAAATGGTTTTATCATTTTATAAATTATAAAGTTCATCCTTGGTTACATCAGTAAAATATTATTTTAGCTCTTGCAGAATTGTAAAAAACACTTCGTTATAATTATCATTAAATGTCACTTCATTAAATTATAATGATTATTAAATTACCCATATGTTTATTAATGTATTGTGTTTCCCTCTTTAATACGTTTAATTAAATTATAGTGAAGATTTATTTTAGTCATTCTATGAAAATAAAAAAATATATTTAATCAAATACAAAATTTAAAGAGTCAAGTTAATATTTTTTCAAACCAATTTTTTTCTAATTTTTGCCATTTGTATCGTTTATGTCACATGCATTTTTTAATAAATATGAGGATAGTCGCATCGGATTTTATTTTTTATTTTTCATTTTTTAGAAATTAAATTGATTTTTTTTTATTTTTATTTTTAGACAATTTAGATTTAAAAATATAAAAAAAAGTCAAAATTTATTTTTAATAGGAATTGAACTCATGGACCTTTAAGCCACATCATACGCTTTTAGCAGTAGACAAATATGATTTTTAATATGATTTTGGTTTGAATTACCATCCGGGTAAGACAAACGTGGTTGTCGATGCCTTGAGTCGGAAGTTGTTACTTATGTCCGCATTGATGATGAGAGAATGAGAACTTTTGGAGAATTTTAGAGACTTGAGTTTAGTTTGTGAAATGACGCCGAGAAGTGTGATACTTGGTATGCTACATGTTACGAATGATTTTCTTGCAACCGTATGTGAAAAGCAAAAGTTGGATTTGAAGTTCGTTGATTTAATGATGAATGAGAATGAGGATTTGAAGGTTGATAATTTTGGAGTTTTGAGATTTCGTGGTCGTATTTGTATTCCCGGTGATGCGGAGTTGAAAAAGATGATATTGGAAGAAGGACACCGAAGTAACTTAAGTATTCATCCGGGAGCGAATAAAATGTATCAAGATTTGAAGAAAATCTTTTTGTGGTCCGGATTAAATAGGGATGTAGCTCAATTTGTGTATCCATGCTTAACTTGTCAAAAGTCTAAGGTGGAACATCAAAAGCCTAGTGGATTGATGCAACCGTTGGACATTCCGGAGTGGAAATAGGATAGTATATCGATGGGTTTTGTTACGGGTTTACCGAATACACAAAGAGGTCATAATGCTATTTGGGTAATCGTGGATAGACTTACTAAATCTGCTCACTTCATTCCAATTGATATTAGTTATCCTTTGGAGTAGTTAGCCGAGATTTATGTTCTTGTGGTTGTGAAGTTACATGGAGTTCCTAAGAGTATTGTATCGGATAGAGATCCTAGATTTACATCGAGGTTTTGGGAGAGTTTACAAAAGGCTTTGGGTTCTAAGCTAAGATTGAGTTTGGCTTATCATCCATAAACGGATGGTCAAACCGAGAGGACAATTCAATCGTTGGAGGATTTATTGCGTGCTTGTGTACTCGAGCAAGGTGGTGCTTGGGATAGTGATTTAGCGTTAATTGAGTTCACCTATAATAACAGTTTTCATTCAAGTATAGGTATGACACCATTTGAGGCTTTGTATGGTCGGAGATGTCGAACACCTTTGTGTTGGCATGAAATTAGTGAGAGGTCGATAGTTGGACCGAAGATGGTACAACAAACGACAGAGAAAGTGAGGTTTATTCGGGAAAAGATGAAAGCTTCTCAAAGTAGACAGAAGAGCTATCATGAAAAGAGAAGGAAAGATCTTGAGTTTCAAGAAGGCGACCATGTGTTTTTGAGAGTTACAGCGGTTACGGGTGTGGGTCGTGCTTTGAAGTTGAAGAAGTTGACTTCTCATTTTATTGGTTCGTATCAGATTACTGCACAAGTTGGTGGTCACTACTAGAAATGTTGTATTTAGCCTCGGCCAGTTTCCGAGGCTATAAGGCAAAAAAACCCCGCTACAAGCCAATTAGTCTCGGCCTAGCGTCGATGTCGGGGATAGGCTAAAACGCTCGAAGCTAACTTTTAGCCTCGGCAAGAAGATCCGTGTCTAAAGTAGCCTCGATCTTTCCGTGTCTAATGTAGCCTCGGTGAAGCCGTGTCTAATTTAGCCTCGGTAAAGCCATGTTAAAAAATTTAAAATAGTCTGGGCCTGACCGAGGCTAAAGTCAAACTCCATAAGCCCCTCCAATATTTAGCCTTGGTCCTGGTCGAGGCTAAAGGAACATTTTGCCTCGACTTTTTCGAGGCTAAGTTCAAACTTTATAACTACAAAATATTTAGCTTTGGCCTAACCGAGACTAAAGTCAAATTATAAAAGTCCTCAAACTTATGCCTGCTTTCCAATTCTATAATCTATATATGTTGGCCATGTTTTCCAATAATGACAATTATGTCATGTCCTGTTCTCCTTCAATCTATTTATCAAAACATATAACACATGAAGTAAGAGTTATCAAAATATTACATAGATTGAAACAATAACAAAAAAAGTAGTCATATGTACAACAAAAAACATCCCCAAAAACTCGGAATACATTGAAAATCATGTCCAAAAAGTTTTACATCCGAGACTACTTCTACTAACACTGCATGATCAATCTTCACTTAATGATTGGTCATCTAAATCATCATCATAGTGAGGATTTGACGATCGAATGACAACTCTAGCAGATTGAACATTTGTAGGGTCAAGCTTCTGCATGATAAATGCCTTCAAAGCATTCAGTTCAGACTCCATCTTTTTAGCAAACTCGTTAGACGCTTGATATTATTCGGTTGCCTTCCGAGCAATCTCATTTGACGCCTGAATAGATTTGGTAGCCTCTTCGAGTCGAGCTGATGTAGCTGCAGCCAATTGTTCATCTCTAATTCTAGATGCTCTCTCTGATTCAAAGGATGTCCCAAACATAGATCCGCGGGAATTTTGAGGTTGTTGGATAAAGGATGTAGATCCATGCTTCAGATTTATAGCTAAATTCGTTGTTCCATAAACTCGACCACGACTACGACCCCCAGCAGAATCTGTCTATAATTTAAAAA